TATGTATATGTATGTATATGTATATATATATATATATATATATATATAGTATATATATATAGTATATATATATAGTATAATATATATATATATATATATATATATATATATATATATATATATATATATATATATATATATATATATATATATATATATATATATATATATACATATATATATATATATATATATATACATACTACAATGATAAACCTCTCTTTACAGATAGCTTCCCAGTGTCTACTTGAATTAATTATATACCGGATAATGAAATTTAATATATTCTTGGGAAGTTTACTTTTAACGGAGGACCATACAGAGTTGAATGAGAGTGTCGAATGTTTAATGATACTGGAGAAAAATGAGCCTTGTGAAATGAGGTGGTGTTGAAGCTTGTCTTTGTGTTGTTTTGGTGTTTTTGTATTTGTCATATTGTACATTTTTGTGATTGCTAGTACCCTTCCAAAGGTTATTTATCGCTTCATTTGGCGACGACTTAAGAGCTTTCCGAGAAACAGTTTAGCATTGAAGGAATTTGGTTGAAGGTAGAATGATATTTAATCCAAATTTATTGTGAGGAAGTAGTACGTTACTAAGGGTTGCAGAAATAGGAAGTTCAAGCCATTTCCGGATATACGTGAACCCGATACTATCTAGTTTATCATTAACCCACCCTTATAGAATCCGACATATTTATAACCTATTTTAGACAACACGTTCTAGAGCAAAGTGAAATATTCTATTTAACTGAATTCCGGACAAAACCTAAGCAAATCTGCTGTTTTTGCACGAAATTTGACCAATATGCTGCTAATAATTGGAATATAATGAGATTCTTGCAATCTGTCTATTCATTCATGCAGGATTCCCTACATTTTATTAATATTTGCAACAAAACCCAACAAAATCAAGAACTGCAGCATTGCAAGAAATTAGGAAATTTTAATGAAATTGAATGATCTTGAAGCAAATGAGAATAGCAATGCCGTTTATTGTAAAATCATGCATATTTAGCAGGACTGGGAAATTATCTTGTTGAAAAATCTTTAATATAATACTATATTTTGCAACCCGAATAAAAACGATGACAAAACGGAGATATTTTGCCCGATATCGCAACTACGAAGCATTTATATTTCTCACTGCAAGTTGGCACTGCATTTGCAGTGACAAATTGGCAATTTGAAAATTTGGCACTGCATTTGCAGCGCCAAGTTGAAAATTTGGCATTGAAAATTTGTCACTGCATTTGCAGCGCAAAGTCGAAAATTTGGCACTGCAATTGCAGTGACAAATTAAGAATTTGGCACTGCATTTGCAGCGCCAAGTTGAAATTTTGGCACTGCATTTGCAGCGCCAAATTGAAAATTTGGCACTGCATTTGCAGCGCCAAGTTGAAATTTTGGCACTGCATTTGCAGCGACAAATTGAAATTTTGGCACTGCATTTGCAGGGACAAATTGAAAAATTGGCACTGCATTTGCAGCGCCAAGTTGAAATTTTGGCACTGCATTTGCAGCGCCAAGTTGGAATTTTGGCACTGCATTTGCAGCGACAAATTGAAAATTTGGCACTGCATTTGCAGCGCCAAGTTGAAATTTTGGCACTGCATTTGCAGCGACAAATTGAAATTTTGGCACTGCATTTGCAGGGACAAATTGAAAAATTGCCCTGCAAATCTTATTTCTCTTCGTTGTTGACTGAACAATGCCAAACAAGTTTGAATAAAAAAGATATATATGGCACTTTCCATTAACATGGCCAAACCGGTCAGAACGGTCAAATTGTTGAATGAAACACAAAACATTTGGGTTTCGGACCTATCTAACCGGAAAATTTTGATAACATTAGAATGAGGTCCATTTTCGCTAGACATTTGAGAAACATAGACCAGATCTTTCCTTTGATACTGAGAAAAGTATTCAGGTCTGACCGGTCAGGCCATTGAATGGAAAGCGCCCATAGATGAAATATTGGAGTCAGTTTATGTCTTCCCAATATACATTGTTTAATTCAATATGACTTCATATATTATTTATGTCAGAAAAATGCTGCCATTTATTAATTAAGGTAGCAATTTATTACATTTTGTTTGTTACTGTAGTTACTGAGTTCAGGTGATTTATTATTTTAGTCTCTGACTCTCTGTAAAACCAACCTCACCTTTACTGCAGATTTTATCAGTATAATACATATTATGCCCTTCAACAGACAAGCCACTCCCCAAGAGTACTACATGCATTTTGATCACATGTTGTGACTTGTCTGCCTTCAAACATCTAAGAGTTCTTATACACCTTTACTGGCTCTTGTCTTAATGTAAGTCATACGTAATACCACTGTCTTTTTCCTTGCTGATCATTTCCTCGGGAACAGAAAAGGGAAGGTTTAGCTTGTGAGTAGACATTGCTCTGCAAAAAAGAAATTATTTTAGTGGAATTATGGCCATTTGAATATTCATGTACCACTTACAAAAAGTAAAATAGTGGTTAAAGGGTCTTGTAGATGGAATTCATTGAGTGGGAATTTGGGTACATTTATATTCATAATTACAAGACTCTTCAACTACAGTATAAATTTATCAATCAAGTGAGATGCCAACAAAATCTTGATATTTACCCATAACCAACACATGGCAGAACCCTATAGTATATATATATATATATATATATATATATATATATATATATATATATATATATATATATATATATATATATATATATATATATATATATATATATATATATATATATATATATATATATATACATGAACTTGTGGTTAGAGCTTGACAACTGGTGTCTGTAGCTAAGTTGGTTAGTGTGTTGTACCGCCATTACCGGAATTTGCAGTAGGTTCGATTGCTGCCAGGGACCTGTATCAGATGCATTTTTTGCAACTGATCCTGGTTAAGTCTAATAAATGTATAAAATTTCTACTCAGTAATTTACATCATTAGACTACAAGACCCCTCAACTACATAATTGTAGAGTAGAGCACATCAAATTTTAAGAGACAGTTAAATGTATTCAATTTTGGAAATCTGTCTTCAAATGTGATTCAATATGTAATCTAGCACAGTAGGCAGATATCTACACAACTTAACTATACATTGAACATTGAACGAACAAGGAAAACTTGTGTCAGTCAATGTCTGGCAAATAGCCTTTGACTTTGATATCAGATAAACATGATAAACAATATATACATAGTTTCTAAGTTAGGCAAGGCATGAGCAAACTAAGAATTTGGCACCCACCCCTGCAGTTCTCATTCACCTTAACATTGGAACGACTGGAATCGTGTACAGGTATAAATATGTTTCATTTGATAGCTCAAATCACCAAAATTGCACAATCATGGTGTAAGGAAAATATTAGACATTTAGTTTTAATTATATATACTCATTAATAATTAGCCGGCTTAAACCATTGATGTGGTTTCACCTGGTCTGATGAATTTGTCCACAGTGATTGAGTCTGTGGCATTTAAATTTTAGCTATCTGGGGCCAGTTGTTCAAAGCTAGGTTAGCATTAACCCAGGGTTAGCAATAACCCAAACAACAGACCCCTTAGGGACGACTGCCATAATATGTATAAATATGTTTCATATTTTGATAGTTCAAATCACCAAAATTGCACAATCATGGTATAAGGAAAATATTACATATTTTTTAGTTTTAATAATATATACTCATTAATAATTAGCCGGCTTAAACCATTGACATGTGGTTTCACCTGGTCTGATGAATTTGTTCACAGTGATTGAATCTGTGGCATTTAAATTTTAGCTATCTGGGGCCAGTCGTTCAAAGCTGGGTTTGCATTAACCCAGGGTTAGCAATAACCCAAACAACAGGCCCCCTTGGGGACGACTGGCATTATGTATAAATATGTTTCATATTTTGATAGTTCAAATCACCAAAATTGCACAATCATGGTGTAAGGAAAATATTAGATTTTTAGTTTTAATCATATATACTCATTAATAATTAGCTGGCTTAATTAAACCATTGACATGTGGTTTCACCCGGTCTGATGAATTTGTTCACAGTGATTGAATCTGTGGCATTTAAATTTTAGCTATCTGGGGCCAGTCGTTCAAAGCTGGGTTATCATTAACCCAGGGTTAGCAATAACCCAAACAACAGGCCCCTTGGGGACGACTGGCATTACGTATAAATATGTTTCATTTGATAGTTCAAATTACCAAAATTGCACAATTATGGTGTAAGGAAAATATTAGATTTTTAGTTTTAATAATATATACTCATTAATAATTAGCCGGCTTAAACCATTGATATGTGGCTTCACCTGATCTGATGAATTTGTCCACAGTGATTGAGTCTGTCGCATTTCAATTTTAGCTATCTGGGGCCAGTTGTTCAAAGCTGGGTTATAAATAACCCAAACAACCAGCCCCTTGGAGACGGTTTTTAAAAGTTTGGTTAGCTTAACCATAGGTTTATTTATTTATTTAGCTTTTTATACATACAGTAAGCTAAAATTCACAGCAAACTTCCTGACAGCAATGGCTTGTCTATAAATTTGGAAATATTTTTTCAGAGATCTGGTCTGGATCGGAGTTTTAAATACAACCGACCCCTGATGAGCGGTTTTAAAGCGCCAGCATAAAACCGCTAAATATTTAATACTACACTGGGTTTATACGAAAGAATTCTGTCAGGTTTTCCTTTGATAAAATTTGTTTAATATATTAATATTAAAGCCAACCAAGCAAATATGCAGCTGTGAGCTGACACATCGTGATGCTATTATAATTTAATAAAACGAAAGCTAAACTTGCGGCGAAATGCAAATATGGAGCGATGCATATAAACAGCAAAACGTACTAAACTATAAAGCACACAACATACCTTTAGTCTTTGCCTTTAGCCGGCGTGTCGCTTTCTGCCGGCGTGTCGCTTTCTGCCGGCGTGTCGCTTTCTGCCGGCGTGTCGCTTTCTGCCGGCGTGTCGCTTTGAATTCAGAATTCAGATGGCAAATTCATAGTCCAAAACATAGTCTTCGATACTCCTCCTTGCACCCAGAATAAGTTACATGTTTACGTAGTCTGTAAGCGTGTGCTATTATACTAAACAATACGTTTTACTCCGCATAAAAACTGTTCATATATTGGCATAAATTTTCGAGTAAAATTTTAGCTTTGTCCAGAGGAGGTTGGACAGCCAATTAGGCGAACATCTCGACCAATCAGATTGCGCCATTTTCCTCATGCTCGCACGAAGCTTTTGGCATCGAAAATTTACATAGGGCTCATAAATATCGATTTTTTTCATATTGTTATGCAATTTGTTCGGGAAATTTTACGCGATACTACTTCTACAACAGTCAATCTACCCATTGGAACGGTATCTTAAAAGGTAAGCGTCATTTTCCAGTTTATTTTGACCTCTCACTTAGGCGCTATGACGTCGCGATGTAATTTAATGGCGTTTCTGTCAACAATCTTTGAAGACAAAATTCTCAAATCTCCATGGTTCGATTTCGCTATTTTTTTCACGATTAGTTAAATAAAAGTATAATCTTTAATTCTATCCAGCCGGCCCCCCTCGGCCTCTCAACCGTTTTCGAGATATTCACCGTTGAATATAGCCCTTTGTAAAATATGCTGCCTTGTCACTCAGATCGATAATGAACTGCTATTATTAGCTTTTTTCTAAAGAAATTTGATATACTATAGAAGTTTCGATATATTATGGATTTATATATATTGGTTAAAGTATGTAAAAAATTAAAGCACTTCTGTAACAAGATTTTATTGGTGAAATTCATTGTTTGGCTGATGTTTTTATAGATTTGTGATTTTGGCTAGAGGATTCTATTTTTGTCAATGATTTCGTCTGCAAGAATTAAGCATCATCATTAAATTTGGAGTTCTAAACTTGTTCACTTCTCTTGTAATGTTACTGATATGATATGATGACTTGACATAACTTCTGGATTTTCAAAACTAACCCATGCAGTGACAACAAGAACAGCTACTCATCCA